ATTTGTTTTTAAGCATATTTGTTATTATTTTTTATATCGAATTAATAGAATGACTCAGGTTGAAGACGAAGGTTTGTACTTATTTAGATGTGTATTATGTTACAGATGTATAATGTTATGTAGTTAGTTCTTAAATATATGTTTATTTTTAGTTGCTGAATTACTAAGAAGTAAGTTTTGTTCCATTTTGTTCTTAACAAATGTTATAAATAGCATTTATATGTTTGTTAATTTAAATTAACTTTACAATATTAAAATGGTTTAAACGAACTTTAAATTTTTGTAAATTAATTTAATCCTGAAAGATTAAATTTTTTTTTATTATTGATGAAACTAAACTAGATTGAAGTTTGAGTCAACTTAAATGTTTGTTTGTTTTTCTATTTAGACGTTGATAATAATATTGAAGCAAGTAAGTTAAAAAGCATTTTTAAATTTTTAAAAAGAAATAAAAATACTTTTCAATATATATCTGCTTTCTTAGAGGTAGATTTAAAGTTTCAGGTTTTTAAAATCATATATATTATAATATTAAATTCTTTTTTACTTAAAAAATATCTATTTTATAGTTACACTGAGTCGTAGAAAAATAATTAAAGTTTATTAATAAGGTAGTAGATTAAATAGTTTGATCTATTTAATCAACTTAATAACGTATTATCAAAGTGAAGATTTATTTCGGTTGTTTGTTTGTTAAAATTTAGTTAGAGTTTATTTAAAATTTAAATTCTTTAGTTAATCAAGAGAGATCTAATAAAGGTATTAATTACATTAGTTAGTTGAATGTGACATTTAATATGTATTTAGTGGATATTTTAACGTCTAAACATTAAAGTGCTTTTATTGTTTAGACACAGAAGTGAAGAATCAATTAAGTCAGTGTTTTTGCTATTAGATATTTGTAAATAGGAATTTGTTTATTTGTACTGACACTGGAATTTTAAAATATCAAGTACTTTAGCTTTATTTTATACTTTCTTTTAGGGGAGTTCTTTCTTTTAGGGAACAAAAACTTTCTTAGGGAACAAAAACTAAGTATAAATTATGATTAGTTTAATAAATAAAGCATTAATATTTAGATTTAAAGTTTACTTTAGTTTATAGTTTTGGTTTAGTTTATAGTTTTGGTTTTAGCTTTAGTTGTTTTTTTCTTACTTTAGACAACTTTATGGATGAAATGAGGGGGATGGGTAAAACAATTATTTAGATATGTATATATTTATATGTTAACATTATTTTATCGATTATTTTATTTTTATATAAGTATATATTTGTCTTTAGTGTCTGGTGGAAGCTTAACTGGTAGGGCTGTGTTTTATATTTTATATATTTTGTATGGAGAAATATGTGCAATAGGTGGAAAAATTAAATAATAAATATGACATTTTTGAACTGGTTGCATTATTGCCCTACATTTTTATTAAAATAAAAAATGTTGCATGTTTAACCTTTTTTAATTTGCTCTCTTTTTTTTTTTAGCATCTTCTGTTTCGAATGAAAATGGTGAGGTTATGATAATTTTTTTTTTGAATAAAATTGCAAATGTATAATTTTTATTATATTCTTCTATTTGTAACTTTAGATTCCTTAACATTCGAAAACTATAGAACTTACCGCTCCCAACACCTGGGACCTCTCTCAGAGAGGTCCTTCAACAAATGGAGAGATAATGGCGGAATGGATGAGCCCTCCTTCAAATGGAGGGCTCACCCATACTGGGTAGTTAGGAGACACCCAAGAAAAAATAGCAACCAAAAGGTTGTAAATGTCTTCTATCAGTGAAGATATGACTTTTTGATTGCTGCTTTTTCTTCGGTGTTTTTTTTTTTTTTTTAATTTTGTAATTTTTTTTTTATTCTTTATTTTTTTTTTTATTTTTTGTAATTTTTGTAATTTTTGTAAATTTTGTAATTTTTTTTTTAAATATATATTATATTGTATATTTGATTTGTTTTGATCTTTTTTAATGAAAATTTTAATTGTTTTCTCACCAATTAAACCTGAACTTCAAAATATAGTTAAATTGATTCATTATCCAATTATCATAATATAATGATGCTGCATTCTATTGTTAAAAATAGTTATTTGGTAGTTTCATTTATTGAACTCACTGCTTTTAAAATTTGCTAAAACCCTTTATATATATATATATATATATATATATATATATATATATATATATATATATATATATATATATATATATATATATATATATATATATATATACATATACATATATATATATATATATATATATATATATATATATACATATACATATATATATATATATATATATATATATATATATATATATATATATATATATATATATATATATATATATATATATATATATATATATATATATATATATATATATATATATATATATGTATATATATATAAATATATATATATATAAACATATATATATATATATATATATATATATATATATATATATATATACATATATATATACATATTATATATATATATATATATATATATATATATATATATATATATATATATATATATATATATATATATATATATATATATATATGTATATATATATATATATATATATATATATATATATATATATATATATATATATATATATATATATATATATATATATATATATATATATATATATATATATATATACATATACAGTGCTATCAAAAAAAAGGCACAGTAAAAAATTTAATACATAATCTTTTTCAAAACATTGTAAAATCCCATCCATATTTTCAAAAGTTTTTTTGAACAACAGCAAAAATATTTCTCTACAACTAACATGTCAATAACAAGTTCGTCTATAGTTACTTATTTTTAATAATTAACTTTTTTCAAAGGAATACAAAAAATATACAGAAAAAGATTATAAAAAAAATTAAGGCACAAACTTTTTAATTGATTTCTACTTTATTGTCAATCCAACTGTTCAACTTAATTCATAATTATTTTGTTAATTTATAGGTTAGTTTGACAATATCCTATAAAAGGTTGGATAAAATTACTTAGATTGACCAGTTTAATCACATTTAAAGTCTTTTTAAACATTTTGATAAGACCTAAAAATAAATATACATAAAAATGGGTCAAAAAGCAGTAAGCGAAGCAATAAAGTGGCATTTGTTTAATTATGTTTAATTAATTAATTAATTAAAACAACAAATGGCATCCAACGCCATGCAGGGTCAAGAAGGTTAAATCAAACTAGTGAATGTGAAAATAGTCTTATATTTTGTCAAGTAAGACCCAATTTTATGTTAAGTTATTGACCAACGCATTCAACCAAAACCGTGAAAAACATATTTCCTCAAATACAGTTAGAAACATTTAACTGAGAAAGAAAAATTGGTGTCTATGCAGCTTTTAGAAAACCTATGTTGACAGCTAGAGATCGGCTCACAAAATTTAGGTATTGTAAGGAGAGAATTGGGTGGTCTTTGGAGAAGTGGAAGTAAGTCATTTTTAGTGATAAAAGTAACTTTGAAGTAATAAATAAAAAAAGCAAAGTTCTTGTTAAAAGATTTAAATTAGAAAAGTATAGTAATCGCTTTGTTGTACCTAGGTTGCAAAGTGGCAGCAGCAGTGTTTGTATTTGGGGCTGTTTTAATTTCAATGTAGAAGGAGTGTGTAATATTTATACAGGACGAGTCAACCAACATATATAGAGAATAAAAGAGCATATCCTGGACATTAACTTCATCACAGAAGTACAACAAAGTTTTAACACCAACAAACTTGTAAAGAAAGCAAGTGAGCATAATTAAAACCACATAAAAATAAGGCTCAACTATTCTAGTTACTCTAAAAATAATCTAAAAATGTTAATAACAAATACTTGAAAGTTATTCCAAAAAACAATTCTCTCTACGCTAACTCTAAAGAGACTACGAAAAATGTGGAACAATATTTTAGCACAAAATATGGTTCCATAAAAAGCGATAGTCATGTAACAATAAAAACAGTAAACAACATGTAAATAGTGGAAATGTACACAGTTGCAGGCTCCACAAAACATTGAAGATATAAACTTCAACAATTAAAAAATGCAGCCATTAATCTCTAAGGAGGGAAAAAAGTACCACCAAAAAAAGAACTACAACCAATTCAGAAGTTTGATATACATTTGCTGTCTGCATAAAAATCTCAAATGCATTCATCTGTCTGCAAGTTTATAAAAAACTCATTACAGTAAGGACTATTCTTCTGCTGTTGATTCTCATCCAAATGGACTGTGCCCAAACTGCAAGTTATATATTTTCAAGGAAAAATTAGGTAAAGGTATAATAAAAAATGTTAAGGAAAAGTGAACCACAGTTAGATCAGACTCATTTGTGACCAAAAGAGACTGTCAAAATTGTACAACTTGTGAAAAAGGTCAGAGTAAATATTTTTACAATAAGAAAGCCCTAGCAGGTTCAAAGAAATTAAAAGTTATATATATTATATAATAAATATATATTATATAATGGCAAAACTAGACATTCTATTGAAATTCTAAGACCAATTTGATAAAGTAAAAGTGTGCAAAAAATTTTGATTAGGACATATTAGTGTCTCAAAATCCATAAAATCAATTTTACTGTACAAATAGGGAATACACCATTTTAAGTACTGTAAAGTTATATATTTCAAAATGTGATAAATTTACAATATTCTAAAAACTTCTAAGCAACTCCTAAGGCCTAATACTAAAATCTGTGGAGAAATAATTTGTAGTAAAGCCCATTTCTACTTTTTGTGAGCTGTGCCTTGTTAATTCAGTAATACTGACCTAACTGCCAACCTTAAAGTGTTTGAGGTCGGCAAAAAATCACAGATCTTGTTTCTATGTTTAATGGTAAAACCTTTACATCAAGTTTTTTTTGCCAAACCTCTAACAGTGTAAGGTCTGCAATAAATTGCCGACTTGATTTTTCTTAATTTAGAAAGCTGAATATACAATAAAAAAAAGATAAAAAAAAGCTTACCTTAGGATTTTTTCTTTTATTAGATAGAGGAAATCTTAGCATTGGTAAAAAACCATCACGCGTTTTTGAAAGGTCTTTTGAATCAAGGCGTGCTAAGGGAGCAAAGCAAACATCACTTAAAACTGTTTTAACACCTTCTTTGTGAGATACACGTTCCAACTTTATTAACTAGAAAACATGTTATAAAAACAATTAAGAAAATCTGTTACTTGTATGCTTTTATTTTTTCTAAAACTGTAAATTTCTTTAGGTTATGCAAGTTCAATTTTTGTAATTGAAAGGCATTTTCTGTCTCTCCAATTTCTCATCTTTTTTTTATTTACTTTTTCTTTTTGTTTCCTCTACATTTTTTCATTAAATTTTTATTATCATTCAATTTATAGTAAAAACTTTTATTATTCAAATCAAAATTTTTATAATTTGAAATAGTTATAATATAAACTTAAAACAAAGTAATTTTTCTAACGACAATTTATAACTAGTAATTGTAATTTAAATTTATAATTTTAGGTGCAATAATGTTGCAATAGTATTGAATATTCAATATACAATACAATGACTCCATATTTAAACATTAAAACAAAAATTGGAAATTATATTATAAAAGTGGGAGAATAAGAAAAAAAATTTTTGTAAAATAAAAGCATCAGTAATACTAATGAACAATTTCCTAAAACAAATTTTTTTGAACTTTTGAATAATCTATTTGTTAGTAATCTACAAATAAAAATAAATGAAGGGTTTTTCCTTCAACTTAATTTATTTAACTTAATTTCCTTAATTCAACTTAATTTGAACTTAGGGAAATATTTTCAGTTTAAATCTTCACACCTAGACATCTTTCTTTTCTCTTCATTTTTTGTTTCAAACTTTTATGCTGTAAATTTTCATTTTGTGTTATCTAATGCTATTATTTAGTGATAAAAAAAAATCATAATGTTCTAAAATTAATATACTTTTTTAAAACTTTAAGAATATAATTATAAAGCTTTTGTTTGTGAATAAGTTATAAATAATGTACATTAATGTCTTTGAAACTGTATATAAAAACTGTATTGTAAATGAAATAATATTCTATACTATTTTTTTTAATATTTATTTATTTTTTACTATTTTTTCATGTAATTAAAAGTCATTTAAAAACAATATCTGAGATGCCATTTTGCAGTATTTTTTGACCAAATGAAATACATAAACTTCTTAACTAAAATTAAAGATGTTATTAACTAAAAATCAAAGATGTTATTAACTAAAATTAAAGATGTTATTAACTAAAATTAAAGATATGTTAAAATATTTTAATTAATTATTTAATTTCGTTTTCAGCAATATTTTAGAAAATAATAATACTTGTTTGCTTTGTTGATGAACATTTATTTAAGGTCAACTAAAGAAATATATGATATATTAATAAAAGAAAAAAAAAAAAGAAAAAGATGTATAAATGATCAAAGAAAAGATATATATAGACAATAAACAAAAAATATATATAAAGTACAAGTACAGTAAGATAAAACATTCTTTAGTAAGAGAAAACATTCTTTGTTACATACAACAATTTCAAATTATAAAATAAAAACTTTAATCTTCATTCATGTTCATTGCAATTCCTAATTTTAGTTAATTTATTCCTAATTTTTGTTTTTCTTAAATGTCCAATTTGATTACCCTTGTTATCATAGATAAGTTTACAAGGTTTAGACCAGGACATCAATGCTTTATTTATAAGTTCTTGAGAGATATTCCTCCATATATCTTTTATATTCTGAATGAGCCCTGAAAAATTTTTTACTTTTCATTTTTTTAAATAGATTTAACATATAAATTCATATAAAAAAGTCCATGGGTGCATTATCTGATGAGTTTTAGAATGAATAAATTTGATTTTTTGGTCAGTTTAAGATTTAATTGTCATTTTTGAAGTGACTATGTGCGAAGTCTTGATGGAAATAAAAGTCATTTTTTGGATATAGTCTTTTGATATCATTTTTAATAAATGGTTTTAAAACACTCTCTATATAGTTACTTGAATTAATTTTAACTCCCGATTTGTAAAATATTAGAGATGTTAATCCTTTTGCACAAATTTCTACTCATACCATGACAACATTGGGAAATTTTTTTTTAATATAATAAGGTATTCTCTGTGCTTTTTGATATTTATTTATGAAAATATGTTTGGATTTTTGATCACAATCAGTAAAGTGGAGTAGTTTTTCATCAGTTGTAATGATTTTTGTCCAGTTTTTTTGTTCTTGTAAACCTTCTCTCAACCGTACAAGGTGATAATTCATGTACACATCCTTTTGAAACTTTTTTTTAATTAAATAATTTATCAATATAACATTTAATTGACTTTCTTGATATTTTAAACTTTCTATATTATTCAGAAATAATTGGTGATTGTCTTTTTTTAATAACTTTTTTATTTGAAAAATTTGCTGTAAATTTAACTTTAATGGTTGATGTCAACGTTCAGCTTTTTTTTTGCCATTTAAATCATCTTTTCTTTAAAATCTTGCCATGTTATTTTTAACTCTACTAATAGTGGTTATTGAAACTTTAATTGATTCCTTTTCTGATAAATTCTTAATCATTTTATACGAATACCCAAGTTGTACCAATGATAAAATAAGTCCTTTAATATTTTCTTAACTTTTTTTTGTCAACATGCTTTGTTTACATTAATCTTTTTTTTTTGCTAACTACTTTAAATGTGTGATTAAATTATATAAACAACATCGTTACATATTATTTAATTAAAAAGCAATCAAGTTTCAAAAGTGTTTCCTTTTCAATGTCACATGACTGAAGTTATTAATAATGCTAGTAACTCTCTTGCGCAGTTACTATTTAAAATATATACTAAGAAGTTACTACTATTTGAATTACTAATATTACATAAAGATTTTTATTAAACATGTATATATTTTTAAAAATCCTATTAGAGAAAAAAAAGCACAAATGCTTAATAAGTAATTTTAAATTTATCTCTAAATCATTCATTTACTTATCACAATTTGCGGCAAACTTTTAAGAAAATAAATAAAAAGGATTTTAAATTAATAGATATAGATAGCAAAAAAATGAATAGTTTACACCATATATAATATTTGTCAACAAAGCGAATTAAAGTTGCATATTGTAAACAATAAAACTATTTTAACGCTTTTTCAAAATTTAAATAATTTTACAAAATTTTAGTATATGTATTTTCCAAATTACATCCTAATCATTTGTCAAACCTTGATTTTTGAAACTCATTTTGGTTTTCAAAACTCATTTTGGTCAAAATAGGAATTATATTTACTTATAGTTATGTTTATCATTTATTTTTATTTTTAGAGATTCATAGAATAAGTGCATTAATACGTATATAAATGGACTGATGCAGCCATAGTGGAGTGGGCATACATAGACTGACTTAAATAGGGATAGGCGCAATGGAGTGTACATATATCGCTGAGAGTTTAGGTTTTGGCAGGCCTTTCTTTTAATTAAAAGAAAAGTATTTCAACATTTATTTAAATAGGGTTTATAAACTAATTTAATTTATAAAAAAATATTAACTTAAATTACACTAGATTTTGAGTAATTAATTAACTGTTTTAATTATTTGATGAAAAAATTACAAAACAAAATTTTTTTAAAGAAATACTCACAGTTCTGGAAATATCTAAAAAGCTTTAAAACTCTGAGGTTTTGGGCATATATATATATATATATATATATATATATATATATATATATATATATATATATATATATATATATATATATATATATATATATATATATATATATATATATATGTATATATATATATATATATATATATATATATATATATATACATATATATATACACATACATATTATATGTTTATCTAGATAAGACTTATAATAAATTATTCACTAATAAGTTTTACGAAAATATTATTATAAATATGATTAACAACCTTATTTCCAAGGGGTGCAATTAAAAATCCACCAATTTTTAAAAATTCAAGAAAAAAGGTCACATTTGAAGCAGTGCAAGAACCACCACAGTATAACCTAAAGAGTAAAAAAGACTATTGAATAAAAATAAAAAACAAACCAAAGAACCAAAAAAAAGTAATTATAAAAATATTTAACTTTTTTAAGTAAAACTTGATAATATTTTTTGAATGGACCTAATCATCAATAAATCTATAATGAAGTTTCATGAACAAAAATTTTTAGAAATATACCAAATATCTTTGATTTAAAAAATTAAGAATTTAGAAAACAACATGAAATTGTAAATCATTATAATAAAATCTTGGAATAAAATATCTACACATGTCGGAATAAAGACAATAAAATTCTGAATTGAAAATCATCAGTTGATCAAAAAAAATTCAGCTAGATACTACCAAGGACATGGTTATTTACATAAAGGGGCCAATGGTTGGTTTGATAAAACAAAAACACAGCTAAATTACCCAGATGAAGCCGAGTCTGATTAAATTCACATTAAGCAATTAAAAATATTTGTAATAACAATAATAACAACTAACCTGTCGTATTTTATTTGAGATGGGTCTAACAAAAAACAATTCCCTGAAATAAATGTTGGTGGACAAATTTCTTTTGCAGCCATTTCATTATACTTAAAAAGGTCATTTACTTTTTCTCGTGCAAACTCAACTAAGTCGTTATTAATTTCAATTCCATTGTTTAAACCATGAGGTTTAATTAAGAACCCTGCTACAGATGAAAAGTAACCTGTACCACTGCCAATATTCAAAAATGACATTCCTAAAATAAATTAAAAATTTATTTCAAAAATTGCTAAAATTCATATAAATATTTTATTCATATAAAAATTTTTAAACTTGAAAAGTAATTAATTTAATCATTATTAATTTAATCTTAATTTAATTTAGTTATATTTAGTAATATAGTTAATATATAAATATATATTATATATATAACTATATATATATATATATATATATATATATATATATATATATATATATATATATATGATTATATTAATTATACTTATAATTATTAAAATTATAATTAAAATTATACAACCAACTTATTAGCAATAAGTATATAAGAGGTACATATTACTACTGGTATAATGTAACCCAGTAAGTTTGTTATATTTATATAAGAGGTAAGTTTGTATTCTGTCTGAACTTCTGGCATGGTGCTCACTCACCCATAAAATACTATATGTATGTTCTGTCTGAACCTTGGGAGTGGTATTCGTTCACCCAAATACTAATTTATCTATGTGTTCTTATGTTCTGTCTGAGCCTCAGTGTTAGTTCACCTGTAAATTACTATATGTATATTTGTGCCTATCTGAACCTCTAGCGTGGTATTAACTCACTCAAAGTTACTTTATGTTTGTAGACTGCTTAAATCTCTGATGCAGTGTGAGCTCAGTAACCAACTTAAAAGTCTGGTATTCTGTTAGATGTAATGTTTTCCTAAAGCATTACCAAAGTATTTCCATCAATGTTTTAAAGTACTGCTAACATGCAATATTTTCTTTTATCTACTCAAGGTTAGGTCAGGTTCTGGATCATCACTATCAGATTGCTACTAGGTTGGATAAAGGGCTTGAAATGGTCTCTATAAAATACGTAATTATAATAAATAAATATGCAGTTTTTTATCAAATTGATCATGCCCTTTCTTTTTAAGCTCTTCGAATATTGTTGTTATTGGCAACTTTAATTCTCATCACACTTAATGGCTTCATTCTCGTACCACTGACCCTGCTGGCACAAAAGTTCATAGAGTCTGTATTTTTTAATCTCTTAGATTAATTTTAAGACATAGTTAACTTCAAGACTCATTTTCCTGATAACCCTAATAACTTACCTTCATTTGTGTCTTGCCTCTGACCCTAGCTTGTTTTCATTTTCTCTTTGTTCTCCTTTAGGTGGTTACAACCATGATATGAGCTCTCAGACTACTTACTATTACCCTAAAGCTGACTGACACTTACCCTAAAGGATTCTTTTGTAATTGTCTTTGTGACAGTCCTTGAGCTGATATCTTTTCTCTCTCTGCTTATAAATAGCTCTCTTGCATAAACTCCTGAATTAAAGCAGGAAAAAAGCTTTTATTACTTTTTGTGGGTTTTGATCCATCTTTCATTTTACTTCATGGTTTTCATCTTTATGTGGAGCTGTTATACCTAATCATAATCATCTTTTTCAAAAGAACAACTCTCTTTAAAAAGCTCCTATTTATTATTGCAAGATATCAATGTAAAAAGATGTTGTCTGATGCTAAGCTCCATTATTCCTAGTTTAATAATACTTGTATCAAATCTCAGATATTAGGTTCAAGATACTTTTAGAAAATTTTCAATAAATTTATAACCTCTAATTCATGAGACTGATCTTACTAAATCTTCCAAGGATAAGGCTGAATTGTTTACAAAGAACTTTTTTTTTAATTTGACTTCTGATTTTATGACCACACTTTTTTTGTCATTCCAGTTAAACAGGTTAACCTTTTGATACACATTTAAATCACTCCAGCTTCCATTGCTAAAATCTCAAACTTTTCTACAGCTTGTGGTCCAAACAACATTCCATTATATTCTTAAAAATGTGTTCACCACTCTTTTCTATTCACAATTCACCAACTCTTTTAAAAATGGCATCTATGGTTCTAATTTTCAAAAACTCCAGTGTACATTTTGACCCTTCCAATTATCGTCCGATCAGTCTTCTTTCAGTTATTAGCAAGGTTTTGAGTCTTGGATCAACAAAATTCTAACATCTCATTTTGAGTCAAATAACTTACTGTCAGACAATCGATACGGTTTTCAATCTTCTCGCTCTACCGCTGACTTGCTAACTGCTGTAATTAAAAGATTTGATTATGCAATTTGATTATGCAATTTGATTATGCAATTTGATTATGCAATATGTAATTTGATTATGCAATTTGATTATGCATTAGAGGGAGGCAGTAAGGCTAGGGCTATTACTCTTGACATATCTAAGGATTTTAAGAAGTTTTGGCATACTGATCTTCTCTATAAGCTTTCTTCATATGGTGCATCTGGGAAAGTTTTTGAGATTATCATCTCTTAATTTTTTTTAGATTATCAAATCATCTATTAAAGTCATACTTGAAGGCCAACACCATTCTTCATTTCCAGTAATTTCTAGGGTAACTCAAAGTTCTATCCTTAGTCCTGTTTTGTTTCTTATCTACATTATTGATCTTGCTGAAAACCTTACATCTTAAGTGGCTCTATTTGAAGACTCAACTTTATACTCCTCACTTTCTCTTCTAGACAAGGTCCAAAAACACGTTGTAAACATAGCTGGATCTGATCTATCTGCCAAGCTTGAGTCTTGTTCTCATCTTCATAAAGTTGCATCTCTTTCTCTTTTCTACAAATACTATAATGGTTACTATCAAGGATACATAATCTTATGGTCACTATCAAGGAGCTATTATCTCTAGTTCCATCAACCAAAACCCATTCTCGCTTGACTCATCATTTAGCAAAGTCTCATCCTTTTACTGTATCTGTCCGTGCATTACCAGTGCTTTACTCATATTTTTGACTATAATATAAGCCTGTGATTCTTTATAATATTGTATGCTTTGATTCTTAAAACATTTTTCCTATAGATGCTTTGAGTTTAAAACTTTAAGGGATTAATAATACTTAAAAATAATACTTTACCGCAACATGTATTAAACATTAAGTTTTAAACTAAAAGCATCTATTACAATTAGGAAAAACTCTTTAAACAAACTTAAAAATAAAACTTACAATTTATAAATAATTTATGTGTTAGTATGAAACTTAGACATAGCTTCCATTTGAAGCCTTTGAAGCATGGCTCTAGCCATGCTCACCATGCTTTCATGATTATCACCGCTAGAGTTGGAATATAATTTATATAATTTATATATTATAACTATGCCATGCTTTAATGGAAATCTCAAATAATCTTAATTTGGAAATCCGGTGGGATGGTGAAAATAAAGACATTAAAAGAATGTTTAACACAAGACACACACACAAGAACATAGCACACCTTGTGAACATGGAATTCAATTCCCTAGAAACATTGAGTTTTTGAGTTTGAAAAAAATTATTCACTTTTCAAATTATAATGGTAATAATTTAGATTTATAAATAAACCATTACCAGGTTCCAATTCAAGATGCTCCAAAATTGTAGCATAGATGAGTGGTGCTGACATATGAATATTAGGTGGCCCTTTAATAGGTGAATCAATAAATGCAGAACTTAGAAGTTTTTTTGAAACAAATGCAGCACGATTAACACAGCGAAAAGCATTTTCCACCTCTTTTGAATATACAACTCCAGCCTTGATAAATTTATCTACCATTTGCTGATTATCACTATCATAATCTTGCCACATGATGTATGATATTTTAAAATAAGCTTAAAGATAAATATCAAATAAATATATATAATATATATACACGCATACATTTATAAATATATATATGCATATATATATATATATATCTAAATGTATATATATCTATATATATATATCTATATGTATATATATCTATATATATATCTATATGTATATATATCTATATATATATCTATATATATCTATATGTATATCTATATATATATATATATATATATATATATATATATATATATATATATATATATATATATATATATATATATATATATATATATATATATAAATTTAATTCACCTCCTCAAGGCCGAGAAGGCCACTACAGACGAGGAGGCTACTTATTTGTGGTTATAACCCTCTTTCAACTCTATAACTCCGAAACACGAACATTGATGAACAAGGGCGCTGCGCGGAGAAACGAGTTGAGCGCGGTGAGGATCGAATTGGGAACCACTCGTTCATATATATATATATATATATATATATATAAATATATACATATATATATATATATATATATATATATATATATATATATATATATATATATATATATATATATATATATATATATATATATATATATATATATATATATATATATATATATATATATATATATATATATATGTATATATAAAGTACTGTGAACATGTTTTAGACCATTTACATTTTTTCAAAAAATCCCAGAGAATTCTTCTCTAATATTTAAGTTTGTAGTTCTATATTATAAACCTATTAAAACACATGTATTTCACACAAAATATTGAACAATTACAAACTTTTTATGTCAACCCTCATAAAAAACTCTTAATATCTACTATGTCCTCCTTTTGCCTTAATCACAGCCAATATTCGCTGGGGAATAGATTCATACAAATTAGTTATAAAATCCTGGGGAATGTTGTGCCATTCTCTTTGAAATACTTCAAAACATTCTTCAGCATTTTAGGGAGCATGTTTGACCATCTTTTTGTCCAGGTAATCTCAAATATGGTCAATTATATTCAAATCTGGACTCTGGGTCATCAAACCCAGTACTCCTTCCTCTGCCGTTTTATTGAAATAACTTTTGCCACTTGATAATAATATTTTGGGACATTGTCCTACTGCAGAATAAAATTATGACCTATTAGTCTCATTCCGGATGATAGAGCATGGTGCCTTAGAATATCTATATAACGTGAGTCGCCCCTCTATTTTGATTGAATCACCTACTCCAGATGAAGATAAACAGCCGCAAACTTGAAAAGAACCTACTCCGTGTTTAATAGTAGAGTTTAAACACTTGGGCTGATAGGCTTCAATTCTACTTTGAACATATTGGTGTCTTTTTGTTCCAAAAATTTCAAATTTGGACTCACCAGTGTACAGAACCCGATTAAAACTTTCCGGGGCCCAATCTTTGTGTTGTTTTGCATATTTAAGTCGTTTTTCTTTACTGCCATGCCATAATAATGGTTTTTGAAATGTAACACACTCTCTTAATCCCAATTTGAGTAGGTGTTGTCAAATGCAAGAAGAGCTGACATTTTTCCCAGTTGCTGTGTTAATGTCCTTTGCCAACTCGATTGATACTTTTTTTTCAATTTCTTAATGAAAGAGTATTTAAATATTTATGGTCATCTTTTGTTAGCCTAAGAGGTCTACCACTTTTCTTTCTATATTCAAGTGAGCCAGTTTCTCTAAACTTTTTAATGATTTCTGTAACAGCAGTCTTAGAATATCCTGTTTTGGATGAAATTTGGCGCTGTGAATAACCTTCCTTGTGAAGCACAATAACTTTTTGTTTCTCTATTAAAGATATTTTACCCATTTAGTTAATCTAAAAATGCAAACTAAACATTTAAAAATGCAAGCAAACATTTAATTTATCTAAAAATGCAAACTTATAACTTTTTTTAATTACTTTTAACTATTTGTCTAACTGTGCTCATAAAAAAAAACAATTTTCTAAAAATGTACCTAAACCCATTTGGTCTGATGGTTATTATGAAACATTGTTTTAATCATGTTCCCTCATGTTCCCTCATCAATTTTGTTTTTTTATTCAAAATAATACTCTTTTAACTTTCCTTATATATTATTATACTTAAGAACGCTTTAAAAAAATTACATAGGAAAAAAATTGTAAATACGTCTAATTATACAAGTGGTCTAAAACATATTCACAGTACTGTATATATATAAATAAATTATATTGGTGTATTCAACAAATAGAATGCTCAATGTTTTTAAAGAACAGAGCAATAATTAATTAGTAAAAACACTCATCTAATTTTTTCTTCAACAGGCAGTTTCTCCTTCTGTAGTTTTATCAGGACGCTTCCTGATGAACCTATGTAATAATATGTAATAAATTAGTGAGTATTTTTACTAATTTAGTTATATATGTATATTTGGGCAATATATATATATATATATATATATATATATATATATATATATATAATATATATATATATATATATATATATGTATATATATATATATATATATATATATATATATATATATATATATAAAATATATATATATATATATATATATATATATATATATATATATATATATATACATATATATATATATATTATATATATATATTATATATATATATATATATATATATATATATATATATATATATTATATATATATATATTAACAAACAAGCATAAATATATGTATATATATATTTATGTATGTATTTACATAAAAAGAACAGATACAGCCATCCACAATAACCCACCACTCGAACAGTCTTAACATTCTGTTAACGGTACCAACAGTGAAATTTCAAATATATTTATAATATACTTAACTATATTTATAGTTAAGCTATATATCATAATGAAAAAAATAGCTTTGAGGATTTCAGTACATACAACAACTGACTATCTAGATAATAATTGCAAGGTAAGGCTAAAATGACTAAGGCTTTGGCAGTAAATGTTTTTTTCACTGTTGGTTATTTTCTTCTTTTTTCGAAAAAAGAAAACATTTCAATAAAAAAAGTCAGCAAAAAAAAATTTTTACTTTAAGTGATCTTAACTTTATCAACTTTTAATCATAAAGTTTAGCTAATTTTAGAAAAAAATATAAAAAAGATATGAAAAGATTAAAATTGATGTTAACAATTAGAAACCATTTTTTTAATTCAAATTCTTCTAACTTTTTAATAATATAGCAATTTTGAACTAGGGGATAGGATAGTCCAAAAAAAAATTTTTCTTTTTTTCAAATTTCATTCTTATCCATCTGCTAAAGAGAACTTTTTTTAGCAGATGGAATAGGAGGTTCAAATGTTTTTTGAAATTGAAAATTTTTTGGATCATCCTAGGGGACATTTATAAATTATGTCAAAATTTTATGAAAAAACACTCTCTTGCTTCAACAAACTTGGAAGATAAATCAGGTCTAAGTATGTTTACAATGAGTTTTAAGACCTTAATGCATGTTTACAATGAGTTTTAAGACCTTAATTAGAAGAGAAAGAAAATCATTAGAAGAACCAGCCAAAATATGACAACAGTTTTCCATACAAAGACAAATAAGAGATTTATAGAAGTAGATAATAAAATCAGGAGTAAGATAATGGTGAGCTTGATAAAGAGTTTATTAATCAATTATATGTATGGTTTCCACAAGAGGGTAATAGTGATATGGAGAAAAGTCAGTAGTGATATCAGTAGCAAATAATAACCCAAGACGTAAAGTAGAGGACTCAGTGAGAGGATTGCCATTCATCAATATAAGAATGTCTACATCATCTTGGTAGTTGTTTGCAGTAAACAACTGAGTTTTGTTGAAGTTAAAAACTTACAAGCAACTGCAATTACACAGTGTACCAGAGTGACCACTGAGTTAAGCTGTTCCCCAGGTCTAACTTTTTTTTTCAGTAGTTAAGTATACATTAGTAGATATCATTTATGCCAAATAGAACTTCTGAAGGGTTGGAAAAGTGAAAAAAAATGATTAATTTAAACCATAAAATTGTTAATAAAATTTGTTAAAAACTTAGTTGAAAATCCGCGAAATTAATAAGTTGCATTAAAAATGGTAGACTGTTTATATAAAATGTGTGCTGTTTGTCCTACACAGTATGGTAAAAAGTCAGTTAAAGTTCAAAAACTCCTGCAATTAATTGTTTTGGTTAATTTATGTTTGGTTGTTTTTCTTTTTTCAACTATTAGTTTCTTGAAAAAAATTTTGTTTTATTTACGTAGATACATTTTCTTAACTAAAAATAAAACAATAAGTATATATATCATATAAAAAAAAAAACATATATATCATATAAAAAAAAAAACATATATATATATATATTATATATATATATATTATATATATATATATATATATATATATATATATATATATATATATATATATATATATATATATATATATATATATATATATATATTAGTAGAAAATCACATAACAAAAATTTTTTTCATTTTACACTGTGTTTTATCAACAAAGACTCAACAGAAATCTGATATCTGATTAGTCATTTGTTGATGAAACACTGATGAGTCAGAAATCTGGTTTCTGATGAGTCATGACTCATCAGAAATCAGATTTCTGATGAGTCTTTGTTGATGAAACACCGTGTAAAATAAAAAAAAATTTGTAAAGTGATTTTCTACTAATTTATAATTGCTCTGTGCTTTTAAGAACATTGAGCACTCTATTTTGTAGAATACATTTTAAAAAATTGTTTATATATATATATATATATATAGATTTCGATATATAGAATATATTCGAGGTTAAGTATTTTGATGTAATAATACGAAGTCTCTTGTACGTGTTACAGTGCTCAATATTACTGAATAATAGAGCTATATATAATTATATTTAGATGAATAAAAACAACTGATTAGCGGGACTTAAAGTTTCATGCCCGAAGGCAATCATCAGCCGTTAATACAAACAAAAAACGTAAACAAACCGTTACAAAAACGTAAAAATTACTGTAGAATGACATCTG